GCACGTTCTTCACACGTGACGTCAGTTGGACTGAAGGACTGTTGCGGCGCACATGCGGCAAGGTCTCGCGGTGGTAGTTTATCGTTTTTTATCGCGAGATGACAAATTATTACCGTGAGGAATTTTTTGGACGATATGTCGCACACGATAACATATCGCCCATCCCTAGTTCTAGCATGACTTTTTTATAATTTGAATAAATATATTTGCCAATGCATAAAGCTTGTGATGTTCCTGTGAGTTAACTAACCAACAGCTATTTGGTCAGTTCATTATAGCGACACCTTTCTAAAATAATTGTGTAACTCAATTTTGCCAACTAAAATATTGGGCGATTATTTTAGGACGATGACAATAATTGTCTCTAACCTGGTGCTACCTGCTGCTTGTTCTTCACAGGAGCTACTAAGAGAAACTAACGTGTCAAGTTAGTCATAGTTAGCCATCTTGTGTGAGCTTGATTCATGCAGATTTTCCCTTGAGTAGGGGGGTACCGTTGACATTTGAATCGATTCGGTACCAATATCCAGTACCTGGGAATCTGTATCGGTACTTAACGGTACCAATTTTCGGTACTTTGTACAGTATGTGTTGTTTTTTTTTAATAAAAACTTTTATTTTTTTAATCATATTTCTCAATATATAAAATTAACAAATTTCAAGACAACATCCAACTCTATGTATTGTAACATCAGTTGTGTAACTTTTTTTCTTTAAAGTGAAAACTCATGAAAACAACTAATGTAGTGTTTTGTCTTATTGCACAAATTAAAATCCAGCTCCATGTATTTCTACTGATGTCATTTCCCCGTGAGAAAAATTGTGATGGAGGTCCATGGAAGGCAAATAAGTTTAAATCAGGGGTGTCAAACTCCTGTCCTCGAGGGCCGCTATCCTGCATGTTTTAGAGGTTTTCTTGCTCCAACACACCTGATTTTGATCGCTGGGTGATTAACAGGCTTCTGCCCAATTTGAAGAGTTAATTCAATCACTGAATCAGGTGTGTTGGAGCTGGAAAACCTGTAAAACATGCAGGATAGCGGCCCTCGAGGACTGGAGTTTGACACTCCTGGTTTAAATCAAATAAGCAAAATAGGATAGAGTTTAAATAAAAGGTATTCAACCTACGTTTTGAGCATCCAAAATGCGCCCAACGCTTCAAGTTGGCTGCTTGTGCTCTTTCAGGTCAGACTGTTGGGAAGCACCTCTGTTGTTTTTCTCTGCCGGTCTCTGTTTAATGGCAGATGAAATAAAGAAAGTGGCCGTACTTTATTTACTTTGAGCAAGCGAACGTCGTGCTCACAAGATAATTAATCCACCAGATAATTCAGAGGTGGTCTGCTCGGTGAGTTTCACTCCAGGAGCTGCGAGGTTTTCAGCTACGTTTAGACTGAACTCTGCTGCCTCCGTTTACTGAACCAGCGGCTGCTGACATCATTACGCTCTTCTGCAATGCTGCGTTCATGACAAGCATGGAAGCATACGGTCGCAATGATGCGTTTAGGTTCCTAATATGGTACGGTTTGATGTGACATGAATAGGTTTCCACTAAAAGACACTTTTATTTTTCTCACAGTCATATTCAGAGAAATCCCAAAGTGGACGTTGTGCTTTCTCCCAACTTTTGTTATCGTTATTTGGCAGGCGATGCTGAGCAGCAGACTGTAAACAAGTGTTGTTACAGAACATGATGTGCTGTAAGCTGCCCACATGTGAAAATACTCCATTTTAAAAAAAGATCCACATGGCTCAAAACAAACTGACAAACACTAAAACTAAGGATATTCTATCTATAATTTCAGTTAGTTTTAGTTGGTTTTGTAAAAGAATTATACAGTTTTAGTTAGTTATCGTTTTTTCATTTTATTACAGTTTTATTTATTTTAGTTAACTAAAATGTTTTTTCAATTTCATATTTCGTTATTTAGTTAGTTTTAGTTAACTGTAATAACCCTGAGTTCCCATAATCAGACAGGCAGACAGAAAGGCAGAGTAGAAAGTAGGCCTCATCCAGTCGCTTTGTGGAGAAAAATCGTCCAGAAATCCTGAAACCTAAACAGCAGCTGTGTCAGAACTGCTCAACATGTCGTCTCAGACATGAAGTCCAACTTTCTGCGACCCATCAGGATGTTTCTGCTGTGAAATATGAATGAGCTGTGTTTTTCACTCGGTTTGCTAAAATCCCTTAAAGGCTCATGTGGACATTTTCCACAGACGTCTTCTCTGCTGCATGATGTCCTGCTAACAAAAATCATGACCCCCCACCCCACCCCACCCCTATTCCCAACTGAGCCCCACAGTTTGAGGGCGTTTCTTGTTTGGGCTTTTTCCAAAGCTACTGAAGGAGCAGGGACATAAAATTGGGGACAGAGTGGGAGAACAGCAGTTGAATAGTAATAAGGGTGCTTTGGTGTTTGGGCAACAATAAACTTGTAAACAGAGCTAAATATATTCAATGAAAAAGTCTGTTTCATTTTAGAGACACTAATAACGTATAAAGCAAAAAGAGAAAGCTGTTATAAAGAGAGGAGGTGTTGGGGAGGTGGATGCAGCTAACCAGCATTATTTTTAATGCAGAGGATGTTCCGGCGCCTCTTCCCCTCCCCTCTCTGTCGCTGCCACCCTCTCTCTGCTGTATCCACACCACAGAGAATTCTTGCATAATCCAGCGTTAACAGACGCGTGTTTTAATTGGTGTGGCGGTCGCTCCGGGAGGCAGCGGTACCTCTGCACACCGTCTGCTTGTGTGTGCAGGACGGAGCTGCACACATGCAGTCGTTAACGTGTGTTCCAGCACGGGGGTGGATCTGTCCCAGTGATTCAGTGATTACTGAACCTGGAGCTAATCATGAGCCCACCCACCGCCTCACCTGCGCTGAACTTACTCAGAGTTGACCTTCAGTGAACTCACGCCTGTCTGATTCTTGATGCATGCTTACGTGATTGATGAATCAGAATCTGTACACCATGTTTCATTTTTTTTTTGTTGTTGTTTTTTTAAGTCGTACCTATGACCCTAATACGCTTTTTCATTTTTAATTATTTGAAATGATTTACGCCTGAAGACATGTTGGGATTTGTTACTGCCTGCCTCTGAAGTTCAAAGGGCGAGAATGTTTTTTTTTTGCCATTTCTGTTTGTTGCGTTAGCAAAATATCATATTAATTCAAAATATTAACAAAGTGCTTATAAAATAATTAGGTTGAAACTGTTTTGAGTAATGTTGGTCTTAAACGTTTTGGACAAAATGGTTACGCTTCTTTCAGCTGTTTTCTGCTAATTTCAGCTGTTTTTTGTGTTTTTAGCTGATTTGAGCTATTTTCAGCTAAAAATTTTCTTATCAAATCATTTAGCATTATTTATTCATTTCATTTAAAAACAAAAACAATTTTTTATACACAACAAAAATATACAAAACCAATTAAAATGAAAGGAGACAGAAAGAAGAAAAAAATTATATCTGCCCCTTTTTTCCATAATTAATTTCAAGCAATAATAATCAAAAAACAAAACAAAATAAAAACTTCAATTCCTTCTTAAATAACAACTATTGATATACATTATACAATTTCATATTTCTTTAACAAACTTATTTTTTATCATCCTCTTAAACAAACACATTGAACCAGCATTTTTATAATCACGTTCCATTTTATTCCACAGTCTTATTCCTTGACATCGATCCTTCAAATTTGTTCGAATTTTAGGTCTAATAAACATCTCTATTCCCTTAAGATTATATAAACTTTCACTCTTAACAAAATATAACTGGATGTTTAAAGGTAAAACTTTTTTATGAGCCTTATACTTAATCTGCAAGATATTATAATCAACCAACTCATAAAATTTTAATAGTTTTAATTTACAAAATAATACATTTGAAAGGTGACTATAATGTTTTCTGGTGATTATTCTTAATTCTTATTAAGCATTCACCTGCAAGTTCACTAGTTTAATTTCTTTCCATGTTAGAATTTTCAGCAGTTTTTTCTTTATAGCATCTTTTAGAACAGCTGGCGTAAAGCCCAGCATTGTTATTTTTTTGTCAGTGCCCAATGCTGCATCCCACAGATTATCGCCTAATTGTGTGCGTTTGTGCGTATCAGGGACTCTGCCATCTCCAGCAACAAGACACCCCACAACAGCTCCATCAACCACATCGAGAGCGTCCTCCAGCAGCTGGACGAGGCCCAGGCGCAGATGGAGGAGCTCTTCCAGGAGAGAAAGATCAAACTGGAGCTCTTCCTGCAGCTCCGCATCTTTGAGAGAGACGCCATCGACGTGAGTGCCGGAGCAGAGTTATGCAGCATAAATAAATGGAAATTCAAAGGAATTTCATGCTTTAATTAATTTAATTTAATTTAATTTAATTTAAGTAATTTTAAATGTTTAAGTGTTTGGAGGATTTAGAAGCTGGAATATGAGTGTGGTGTGTTTTTTGTGCGAGTGAATTATTGTGCAATATATGTGCACGCACTTATCTCTCAACTCTGCATACTAGAGCTGGTACAATGTATGGCAAGCTGATATATCAGATAATCAGATCACACTCTTATCTCTGTTTACTATTTTAAATATCAGTATTACCCTTTCTCCTGATAAACTTTGATTCTAGTCAGAATTGAAAACAAAATTTATCTACAGTCACAATATTATAAGTAGAAATTATAATTTAAGATTTACAGCTTTAATTGTATAAAACCTTATCTTTTACATTTGTTGGTCAAATTATTATGCAAATAGTTTAAAGTATTAACAGCATGGAGGAACAGAAATTTAATAATACATAAAATAAAAACAGAAGTGTTTAGAGACCAGTAATAACTTGATTTTACCTTCCTGTTGCTCTAATCTCAGTCAATCCAACTAATAAACCAAACAAACAAATAAAAACCCTCCCTGGAGCTTTTTCTAAAGCTTCTCTCCACCGTACGGAGGAAGCTCGTTCCAGCTGCTTGTATCCAGGATCTCGTGCTTTCAGTCATGATTTATATCTGATGACCGCAGATGAGGGCTGGAATGCAGGAACGTCAACCAGTTTCACCGATTCTGGCAAGATTTCCTGTTTTATGTGGTTCTCCTTCATCAATGGTTCTTATTGTAACACTGCCACCTTGCCTTGGACAGCTTAACCACAGGGTCTCCGAGTTCTCCAGCTTCTCATTCTTAATGACTTCGTTTTATGTCAGTTTATTGTCAAAACTTGTACTTAAAATTATTTTTGTTGCGTGATTTTATCACTGATTTTAGTTACTTTAAGTTTTTTTTAATGTTTGTAGCACTTTGAGATTTTCTCTAATAAAAAGTGCGTTACAAATTAAATTCATTATTATTATTATTACTGTTGTTGTTGTTGTTGTTGTTGTTTGTTGTTGTTGTTGTTCAGTTTGGTTATCATAAAAGAAGACAAAAGTATCTATAATGATGCCACGAAATGTTAAGTGGATGTGATTCTATGTTTCTTTAACCTCTCAGATCATCTCTGACCTGGAGTCCTGGAACGAGGAGCTGACGGGTCAGATGAACGACTTCGACACCGAGGACCTGACGCTGGCCGAGCAGAAGCTGCAGCACCACGCCGACAAGGCCCTCACCATGAACAACCTCACCTTCGATGTCATCCACCAGGGCCAGGAGCTGCTGCAATACGTCAACGAGGTGCAGGCCTCCGGTGAGCAGACCCATAAAACGCAGCTGGTTTCCTGACACCAGCTCGTGTTCAGCACTGCTGCTCAGATCTGTGTGTCGACTCCAGGAGCTTTTCTCTGTGTGGGCGTCTCGGGTCGGTTCAGTCAGAGTTTGTGATGAGAGGCTCCCACTCACTAACTATAATAACTCACCTGTGAACTCAGTATGCTAATAGGTCTCCTGTGAAAGCACACGAGGAGTAGGTATGTCACACATTAAACAGAGTATCACCATGGAGATACATGTGCCTTTTCGAGATGAATTCAACGTACGATTTGGTGTAAAACTTTATTAATATTAGGGTTATTTTTGTGCTCGTCCGTCCCTCTCCAGGTGTGGAGTTGTTGTGCGATCGGGACGTGGACATGGCCACACGGGTCCAAGACTTGCTGGAGTTCCTGCACGAGAAGCAGCAGGAGCTGGACTTGGCGGCAGAGCAGCACCGCCGCCACCTGGAGCAGTGTGTCCAGCTGAGGCACCTGCAGGCTGAAGTCAAGCAGGTGGGACAGCTGCAGCAGGCTGCCACCTGCAGGCCACACACCTTAACTGCAGGTTCTTTTTTTTTTTTTTTTTTTTTCTGTCAGCATGTTAGAAGTTCTAATGGTGTTTTTTTTTTTTTTGTCCCCCTGAAGGTTCTGGGCTGGATTAGAAATGGCGAGTCGATGCTAAATGCGGGTCTGATCACAGCCAGTTCTCTGCAGGAAGCAGAGCAGCTGCAGAGAGAACACGAACAGTTTCAACATGCCATCGAGGTGACGCAGCGTTTCTCCTCGTTCCCTCCATGCATTCAGTTCTTACTCTGAGCTTAAAGCTGGATCTTACTGCTGTTGCACAGGAGTTTAGGTCACGATTGGATCGGTGAAATCATTGAAAATGCTTGAATTTTAACAGTGTGTTCAAGGTTTGAAAAGGGCTTGATTTCTGTAGAAAGTCCTTGAAAGTGCTTGATATTCTGACTGCACAGTTTTGTAACAAAAAGCACTAAAACCTTAATTGGATATTTTGATGTTAAATGCACAGAACAGTGAGCGATCATTCTACCTTTACTGAATCTCAGAGTGGGTTTGAGCTGGAGAGATCACCTGATGAAAGGCCGTCCTCCAGCGTAGCTATGAAGCAGACCTACTTTGAGCACGTATTGTGTCTTGCTAGTTGTGCATGTCTCTGGTGAGTGGGAGAAAACAACCAGGCAGTTGCTCTTTTAATGCTCGATAACTTCACAAACAAAACATGATTGGAACAAGGACCAAATCCTCAAGTAGCTTCCTGCGAGGTTAAGGGAGAGTCGGTGGTCTTGAGCTATGCAAAAGTTAAGCCATAGTGGTGGGAGGGAATTATAAATTTAAGCTAGCTTACAACTTTGCAGGTATATTGCAAATTGACTGTTTAAAGGATGGATGGAGCTAGGGTCTTATGTCATCTACTGTTCTTTAAAATGTGTGACAACAAAACATTTTTATTGGAAACCCTAGTAAAGGTGGCTATTGGTTTTATTACACAACAAGTGTCAATGGTTTGACAATGTGCTTCTTCTGCCTATATTTTCATTTCATATTAATGAAACTTGTTTGTAGTATTTTTATTGTGTTGTGGTTTTAAAGCTCAGTGGAAAAAGGTGCACAGAGGTACAGACCGCTCCGATGATTGATGCTGGAAAACTTTGAAAATGTACCTTAAAAATGCTTGAAAAGTGTACAAACCCTGTTGTTCTGTCTGTTTCCCCCATTTTAATGAAACTTTCAGAATGTATTGGCTCTATATCTAATTATCTTTCAACATTATCTTTGAGGTTTGACCAAAACGTGGAGAACTTTGTCCTTTTTTTAACATGAGATCATCTTAGTTTAAAGCTGCAGTGTGAAAGGTGTCGGGCGATATCTGTTTCTTCAAGGAACGCCAGGTCTCTAATGAGTTTTGTCCTCTCGCTGCAGAAAACCCATCAGAGTGCGCTGCAGGTCCAGCAGAAGGCCGAGGCGCTGCTCCAGGCCAACCACTACGACATGGACCTGATCAGGGACTGTGCCGAGAACGTGGCGTCTCACTGGCAGCAGCTCATGCTGAAGATGGAGGACCGGCTCAAGCTGGTCAACGCCTCGGTGGCCTTCTACAAAACCTCCGAGCAGGTAGATTCAGCTGATCTGAGCTGGGACCCCTCCAGAGAAACAGAACTCTGTCACAGTGTGTGTGTGTGTGTGTGTGTGTGTGTGTGTTCAGGTGTGCAGCGTGCTGGAAAGCCTGGAGCAGGAGTACAAGCGAGAGGAGGACTGGTGCGGAGGAGCTGACAAACTGGGACCCAACTGTGAAACGGACCACGTCACTCCCATGATTAGCAAGCACCTGGAGCAGAAGGAGGCCTTTCTCAAGGTAACACACACGCGCGCGCACACACACACACACACACACACACACACACACACACACACACACACACACACACACACACACACACACACACACACACACACACACACACACACAACAGAGTTCCACTTTAAGCTACACATCTGATCTGAGTGTGTCTGTGTTTGAATCAGGCGTGCACTCTGGCCAGGAGAAACGCAGATGTCTTCCTGAAGTACATGCACCGAAACAGCGTCAACATGCCGGGGATGCTGAGTCATGTTAAAGCACCAGAACAGCAGGTGAAAAGTGAGTATCAGACCGCGCACTGAGACCTACTTGGGCAAGTGGTTTAGATAAAAAACAATAAAAGGTGGAAAGTGGGGGGGGGGCGGTTAAGGGGTGGGAATCTTTAATCTTTAAGGTGATAAGTGTTTGTTGATGAAGCAGGCGATACACCTGGTTATGTTTTGTTTTTGTTTGCCTGCTCAAGTTGGCACATTTGTCGTGTTCCCAAAATGCTTCATCTTTATTGTACAAACCATGCACACTGTGAAAATCACGTCAAACTCTGTCTTTCGGGGCATTCGGTAAAAAAACAAAACGAGTCCAAATCTCTGTTTCCTCCATTTTTGTAGTTTTCTCTTTGTTTTGGAACTCTCAACACGTTTCCGAACCGGCTGTGGCGACGTCAAGATGCCCCGCATCGTTACAAAGTGAAATCCAACAGACAATGGATTTTTTTTTGTTTTGTTTTTATTATTTCAATATATCAATTCTTAATCAATGTAAATGAAAATAAATGAATCAAATCAGTCTGGAACAGGGAGAATTCACTGGATGGCAAACTCTATGGAGAGCCAATTCATTCAAAATAAAATAAAAAATGCTGTAAATAATATAGTGTTAATAAATATCCCTTTAAATATATAAATGTCCCCAAAAAATAAAACAAAAAAATCTATATATCAAAATAAACTATTTACCTGCTTAACTTTATGTTTCTTATTCCTTCACATGTTACACTTTTTAAAGTGTAAATTTTCTTTAGGAATATGTCTTTTTATATTTCTGTCTGATGGATTAAAATCTTTTTTTAACAATTTGTGTAGCTGAAAGTACATATTTAATAAGTAATTAAAGTCCAGTCAGATTTGATGCAACACGCAGATACAGATCTAATCTTTACAAACAAACCAGGCTTGTTGTTCTGTTATCAGTTTGCAGATGTTTTTGTGTGTTGTAAGGATTGTATAAATTGACCGTCTCGTTTGGTGTTTGTGTGTTTAGACATCCTCAACGAGCTCTTACAGAGGGAGAACCGGGTCCTACATTTCTGGACTATGAGGAAACGTCGGCTGGATCAGTGTCAGCAGTACGTGGTGTTCGAACGCAGCGCCAAACAGGTAGGAGGAACACCTGCATCAGAGGGTGATGTGTTATTTAAGGAACGTAAAGATCCAGCACAAACAAACGGTGTGTGGTCTTTGTGGATGTGTAGGCTCTGGAGTGGATTCACGACACGGGCGAGTTTTATTTGTCCACACACACGTCCACTGGCTCCAGCATCCATCACACACAGGAGCTCCTGAAGGAGCACGAGGACTTCCACATCACAGCCAAGGTTACAAACACACCTTTATGTCCGTGTCCGTGTATGTGTGTGTCTGTGTGTGTGTGCCTAACGCACTCTGCTTGTCTCCCACAGCAAACCAAGGAGCGCGTGAAGTTGCTCATCCAGCTGGCTGACGGTTTCTGTGAGAAAGGCCACAGCCACGCGGCCGACATCAAGAAATGGGTGACGGCCGTGGACAAACGTTACAGAGACTTCTCCCTGCGAATGGACAAGTACCGCTGCAGCCTGGAGAAAGCACTGGGCATCCCCTCGGACTCTAACAAAGCAGTAAGAGTGGTCAGGTACAAACGCGACGCAGCCCCGCCCTCTTTCAGCGCCATGAACTTTGTCTCTTTATCTGTCAGAGTAAAGACCTGCAGCTGGACATCATCCCGGCCACCGCGCCCGGGTCAGAGGTCAAGCTGAGGGATGCTGCTGCGCACGAGCTGAACGAGGAAAAACGCAAGTCTGCGCGCAGGAAAGAGTGCGTATTCTTCCTGTTTGTCACTTCTTCTAATGCTAGAAAAATAGTTGGTTTATGTAACGGCACACAGAAATCATGATTCATTCGTTTTTTATACAAAACATCATCAGTTAACTAAATGTGGAATAGAATAGTCTTTCCTAATTTAAATAAAACCTTGTCTGAAAATAAATATTCTGCATCTATATTTAGGTGTTTATGTAAATGATGGTTTATATTCAGATGAGCAGCTCAGACAGGAGGGACGATGTGCTTTAATCAGTATTTAACTGATGTGAATCCATCCAGGATTTGGATAATTAAATATACCAGTAATAATAAATCACGAACGACTGCAGATTTTTTGTTGAACTTGGATAGTTTGTTAACTAAAACGGGGACAAGAGGATTCATCATCATAAAAACATCTGATGTTTGTTTTTACTTTGTCCAATCTGAATTATTAGCATGGATACTGTGGACTTTTGTTTTCTTGTTTAGTATTTTAGCAGGGCCTCTCGTTTCTAAAGCACAAACACTGAGCTCATTAAAGAGGTTTGTAGATAGGAGGGGTTGGAGGGTCTGCTGGGTTTTCAGGATGAGAGGTGAAAAGAGCTGCGATGCATTTCGCCTGGAAATTAGAATTAGATGCAGATGCTAAAAACATCCTCATTTGTACTCTTTATGTGATAAAGTCAGTTTCATTATCACATGAAGGAAACATCAATAAATCAAATTCTCAGTATTTTACCCAAACTTAGTCAGTTACAGAACCTGCTACAAACTTTTTCACTGTTGAATCATTGGATTCTCATTTGACTGAGAATCTGTTTTAGTTCATCTCTTGCTGTCATGTATTTATGTAGCACTGTAGCTTATTTTGCTAACTTTTTAACATTACAAAGTTTAATTGTAGTTATTTGAGTTTTCCAGGGTTTTAGCTGTGTTTACTGCCACTTAATGGGCTGAAGGTTGGAACAACATAATAAACTAGAGAATTTGCAGTGTGAGTGCCTAATGCTGAAAGAATTTAGCTGAATAGCTCAAAAGACTTGCCTAAAAATAGCAACAAAAAGTAGCTGAAATTAGCACGAAGAAACAGGAAAAGCACATATTTGCTGAATTTAGCAGTAAGACGCTAAAATTATCACAAAACGGTTTTAGCTAAAAACAGCTCCAATTAGCTAAAAACACAGAAAACAGCTGAAATTAGGAGAAATTGGTTGAAAGAAGCACAAAAAAAGTTTAACTTGGCAAAAAAAAAAAGCTAAAACCAGCAAAGTAGAAGCCAAAAGAAGCTGAAAAGAGCACAAAGAACTGAAACAAAAAGTAAAAAGTGCAGTAAAGAATACTTTAAAAGGTCTTAAGGATGTTGAAACCTGTTCTTTTCATATTCAAAGAGGAAAAACATGACAGAAAAAGTTACATTTCTCAAAAAGTAAAAGTTACTGAAGTACTCAAAGTCACAGCAGGAATGTCCTGAAAGAGCTGAATATAAACCGTGAAAATAATACAAAACTTGTGGAATGACAGAAGAAATAATGTGACTACTTGATGAGCAGTCACACAATAATCTGCACTCGTTGAAAACATAGAAATGCACGCTCTGTACATTTTTTGTTCTGAACATATTTTTCAGTACACCTCTGTTCTACAAGCCAAAGTTGAGCTAAAAGAAGTGTCACATTTTAACCAGCTGAAAGCTCGTCTAAGTTCTCTAATACAATTGTAACAAGTCAGTTTTATTGTCTTTGTTAGAAAAAATATTTTTTCCTTCAAACACACAGTGTTGAATAAAGTACCACAAAGTGATACTTGAGTAAAAGTACAAGTATCTTACCAAAAAACTACTTTGGTAAAAGTTAAAAAGTCTCCTTTAGGAATATTACTTGAGTAAAAGTCTTAAAGTATCTGCTATTTTTTGTACTTAAGTATTAAAAGTAAAAGTATTGATTTAAAATGAGAAGTTAGATTTTCTGTAATGACATTTATTAGGAGGTGACCTCCCAAAAAAATGCAGAAATGACTATATCATATTAAAATAATTAATATATGTTCAATTTAGGATGCTCTAGTTTAGCTGTTTCAGTTTATATACATGTATCAAGGCTGCACAAACCTTTTCCCCAAAATGAAAATCGGAGGGCTGCGGCCAAATGTAACAATATAATTCATGAAATACAAATACTTCTTAAGTACAGTCCTTTTATTTGAATGATTCTGTCCTGCTGGAGTGTGACATGACTTGTTTGTGTACAAACTAATACGGTATCAGAATTTTATATATTTCTACTTCTCATTCAACTACACTTAAATTCTCTATCTGGGAGGCACAATTTGAATGGATAGTATTTATTTTTTTACAATAACAAGCTGGAATGAAAACAAGCAAAAATGAAATAAAAGTAACAACTTTCTACTTCTTGTTTTTTTTAAATGTAAGGTGTAGAAAGTCCAGATAATTGTGTGAAAATGTTAGAAGTAGACATAAAAAAATAGGCTGAAAAATAATTACTCAAGTAAAGTACAGATAGCCAAAAAATCAACTTAAGTACAGTAAAGAAGTATTTGTACTTAGTTACTTTAGAACTCTGCAAACACAAGTAAATAAATGAAAGGTTTTTAATGCACAGCCTGATGCTTCCTGAGAGGGTCTAAAATGGTCCTTCAGTGTCCTCATCATCGCTGAACCTGCCGAACAGTTGGGTGTAAAGGATCTTTCAGCAGCTTATTGTTTGCTGTGTCAGCACAAAGCCAGCGGATGTGGAAAAACCCTGGCACACCAGGGAACAGATGAGTACACACAACGCAGGAAGAGCAGGCCGCATCGTTTTATACGAGCGCCACAAATCACCAGCAGGAGTTCAGTCACTCATGGCTGCTTTTCCACTGCTTTTTATGACCTTTTCATTATTCATTAGTTAATGGATGAGGCCGACAGGCTGAAAAGGAGCTATCAACACGTTATTCTTTGTGTGAGTGAGAACAGCATGACAACTGTCAGTTTGTACTCACGTCTCTTTTTTTATCGTGTGTAGGTTCATCATGGCAGAGCTGATTCAGACAGAGAAGGCCTACGTGCGAGACCTGCGGGAGTGCATGGACGTGAGTTCAGCCTCTCCTCACAAAACGTTTAGAACCAACTCAGCTCCATTTCATTGCTTTGGTTAATTATTTATTTTTGGTGTTTCGGTCTTGTCTAATCCATCAGACGTACCTGTGGGAGATGACCAGTGGAGTCGAGGAGATTCCTCCAGGAATCATCAACAAGGAGCTGATCATCTTTGGAAACATGCAAGACCTTTATGAGTTCCACCAACAGTAAGAAACCAACACTACAGGCTTCCTATGGTCTTTGGTTTAACAGCGTTTGTTACTGCATTTCCTATAAAATGGCAAAATAAATAATTTCTAGAAGTTGGTCAAATGTAGCAGAGAGCAGTAACATAATTCATGATCTTACTTTAGCGAGCTGAGGTGCAACAGCATAAGAAGCCTGGAGTTTAAACTCCTGCTGGTTCTGGTAAAAAGTCGCTGTTGTTTATTAACTTCTCATATTTAGCTTTGTGCAACATGTAGTGACGACTTGTATTCAAATCCTTCATGTCAGACAGAGTCTCTAAACAGACTAAAGAGAGGTTTGCCTTGAAATTCTGTGAACAGATCCTCCACCTCCCATTTCACCTGAAACATCAGATTTTATTTGTCTAGTTTTCTCTTTCCTCTGTTCTCAGCCATGGCTAAACATCTGTCCCTCACTGGTAGAGGCTGATTGAGGCTCCATCTAGTGGCAGCCTTTGTCATTACATCCGATTCTGTGCCACTGAGACACTTTTATATGTTTTTGCGATTTTCAAAAATTAATGAGCTTTAAGCGCTTTTTTAAAGTAAAAATGTATTTATTTGTTAATTTTTTATGTGCCAGTTGCCATTTCCTGAACTATGAAAACAATTAATATTGATTATTGAGATTGCCAGCTTTTGGAAACTGATCTTTCTTTAATCCTCTTGCTGATGAGCATAAATAGGCCCAGCTGAGCTGTATTTAAAAGGAGCATCTTTTGTAAAAGCTAAAATTTCAATTGTATTTTTCCTTGAGGAAATTTCTTATATTTTCCATCAACGTACAACTAATAAATCTGCACCGCTACAACATTTTGACATTAAAAATGACTCAAAATTGAAAAAATTATTAAATTTGTGTCTAGAAATAGACTTTCAAATTGAAGCACATTTTGGGACACCAGTTTTAAGACTTTTTGACCTATTTGTGTATTTTAATGTTATTATTTATAAAATGGTAAACAAAAGCCAAGCAGGCAACCAAAAAAAAAAAAACAACAACAACAAATATATTTGTAAGGTACTTTTTTAGCAATACTTTTACAGAATTCTGCAGGTTATTTTTGCTGTTTCTGATATTTTGATTCTATTTTCTATTGATCTATATTCTGATATATTCTGATATTTAACGTACGATTTATTTTCAGTATTTTTCTGAAAGAGTTGGAGAAATATGAGCAGCTGCCAGAAGATGTTGGCCATTGCTTCGTCACATGGGTGTGTATCATCACTCTGCTGTCCACACGGCGTGTGATTTCTCTTTGTACTGTTCAGATTCTGTACATTTGTTCTGCTTGGTGTTTTTTTTTAGTTAAGTTTATTCATTTTATTTAAAAAACAGTAACATAAATTCATCAAACAAAAAAATACAAATCATAAGTTAAATGAAATGTAGCAGAAGAAGAAAAAATCTTATTATATCTGCTCCTTTTTCTCAAATAAGTAAATTCAATCAAAAATAATCTTCAGATTACAAAATAAAAAAAGAAAAATAAAGGTTTAACTCCTTGAGCAACAAGTCATACGTACATTATACATTTACATATTTATCCAACAAATTATTCTTTATCATTCTCTTAAATATAC